GGGGCAAGGCTCGGAGGGAGGGTTACGGTCGGAGTCACCGCGGGGCTTCGGTTCCCGCTGTCGGGCCGTGAAGCGGCTGTAGCGAGAAGTTGACAACAAAAAAAAACATTTAGGAGAGTGACGGTGAAGTGACGAATGCTGGAGTGATGCCTTCGTCCTCCCGGTGCGCCCGGAGGACGGCAGTGGAGAAGAGCAGCGTGGGGTGCGGGAGGGTGCCGTTAGCTCAGGTGCTGGCTCCGGGGTGGCGACTGCAGCTGTACGTACTCCTGGCTTGGGAACAAGTGAGCGCAAAACAACACAGCAGCTTCAAAGCAAACCATCGTTGTATTACATCCCTGGTTTTAAATCAAGCATTTAAAAAACTGAGTGTGTCCTGGGGCAAATCAGTCCCTCCGTGTTTGCTGAGAAGAGGTCTTCCTGATGGCGTATTTCTCCTTCCTTGCAGAGTGGTTAGAGACTTGGCTGCGTGTTGCTATTCCTTATCCGTGATCTACAGAGATCTGCAGGAGCCTCTGCTTGATCTCTGAGGGCACGAAAAGAATGAGCTCAGTGAGCGGGAAGGAACCGGATCCGCCAGGGTAGAAGCAGGAACAAACTGTTCTTCATACTCCAATTCCCTGTCATTAACTTGGGACGCAACGGACTTGCTCCCCAGGGGCGATCCCGATGGCGGTGAGGCAGCGGCATGCGCGCTGGCCCTCCCGGGTCAGGGAGAGGGCTGGGTTGCGGGGCTTTGCTGTACCCCTCTGGCAGAAATGAATGCGGTTTTCTGACTTCTGAGTTCCGGTTACAAGCTTTTCTCGGTGTCGGAGCATACACAAGGTGGGCATGTTAAAACGGTGTTTTCACTAGTGGAGCAACTAAAGATAAGTTTACATGCTAGACACACTTTGTAGCTCTTTTTCTAGGGTTTTGCTTAGTTACTGGGAGGAAAATCCACTGCGAACTGGACTGGGTTGGGAATCCAAATGCGGTTTCCTTATTTAGCAGCCTCTCTATAGTAGTTCTGCGATCCACCTTTATGTAGGTCAGGAAGTAAAAGAGGCCAGGCAGGACCAGGCATACTTCACAGCAAGTGATTTTCCAAACTACGGGTAAGAAAGGTTCTGTGTTTGGTGCCATTTTGCCCTGTAATGGAAAGCATTTTAAAAAACCCAACAAATGAGCTGTCTTGGTCCGCCATTAAACATTCCTTTGTGTATCTAAATAGGTAAGATTCTACAGGACTTCTCAGGATTTGTGGTTGTAAATTTATCTGCAAAGATCCAAACCAGAAATATTAAATTCATACATGGAGAAAATGAGATCACTGCATAGCTGACAAAGGCTAAATGATGCAGCACTTTTCAGGGTAGCAAATACACTGGTTTGTTATTTAAAGGAGAGATGTGAGTGATTTGCCTTTTTCCATTCTGCATGTAAGAATGGAAGGTTAGCAGTAGCTGGTAGACATAGCAAATGGAGGAAAACACGTCATTCATTATCTTCTAAACTTCCTTTTCCTTTTATTTATGAGACCACCAGAGTAGTAACTGCGAATAAATACACTGTGAAGTAGATTTTAAATATTGTCATTCATTGTGCAGTGTGTCCTCTGACCAGCATGTGGGGATATGTCCATGTACTTGAAGAGAACGTTATATGCGCAGTACAATTTTTACATAGGAAATTATTTTGGTATAACTGGCCTAACGCATTAAATAAGAAATATATAAAGCATGAAACAGCATACAATGTTGCACAAATCTCAACTTCCTTATGTAACAGACATAGCTATGTTATTTAAAAGCACTATTTTAGTCCTAAAATCAGATTACTGTGAGTTAAATAAGTCAAATGTGTCTTCAAATAAAGTATAAGCCACATTTTTATTCCACTTACTACCTGTCTTAGCAAATTTTCTTTTCTGTGCCAGAGGAGCCATATCGTGCCTGTCTTAATGCCTTGAGAAAGCCCCTTCCTTCATGGGGCTAAGGATACACAGGCAGTGGGGGGAAGGGAGTGCCTGCCCTGAT